GGATTGGCCACTTCGATTTTTGACCATTCCCTTGTAAGAAGTATTGAACCCTTCAATAACATATTATTCATATATTCTAGGCTTTCGCGCACGGAATGTCTGTGGAATTTACCAACATCTCAGTTGCGAATTATGACAAGGTAAGCAATGCTGGAAAGATAATATGCCACTTTCTCTCTGTTTGGTAAGTGCTAGAATTCTCATGTAAATGGTAACCTTCACGATCATTTTGATATGCATGCCTCGCAATGACTTCAAACTTTATCTTCGAGTCCACGTTCAATAATGGTTTTAGACATCAACATTCTTTTACGCTGGCGAAGGCAGCATCCTCTTTTTCTTCAACACATTTTTCGTCTTTCGTTTTTTGAGCAACAAGCATCATCGTGCCCAGAAAGATAGTTTGCTCATTGTCGGTGAGTCTCTTATCATGTTTACCATCTCAAATAATCACATCGCTTTCCTCAGGATATCTTATTTTTGATACTCTATTCGGACTGACCTATATGTGCAGCGGAATCTATAGGATAATACTGATTTATGCATCTTCGTACGAGTGTGAGAACAAATTTTTTCATACAGTTTGATCACTAATCATTTACAAATAAATTGGACCAATTACTTGCAGATATTTCAGACTTCCCTGCCTCATCAAAATGGGAGTGCATTGAGACGCCAGCGCTTCTATTTGTTATAATCACTCCAACAGCAGGTTCGTAACTTGACCCAAATTTTAGTCAGTTCACTCCTTTGATCTTTTTACTTCAGGGATTATTGTATTTGTGACTGCACTCGATAGGTGTTATGTTGCAATGTACCCCCTCAGATATCTTCAGCTGAACGTGCGATATGCAATAATCGTGATATGTATCCCTTACATAATTGCTCTTCCTCCCGTTATCAAAGCTCTTTTGGGCAGCTATTCCAATAGATTTGTCAAAGATGTGAGTGTAGCAGACCATCGTCAACATCTAACAACACTTGCTTATCTCGACTGGCTATAATGATAGCTATATGAAAGCTTTAGTCGGATAAGAATAATTTTATTTTATCAATACT